CAGTTATTATAAATTTACATTAACCAGGAACTGCCTGCGAGCGAGATTTAATGAAAACTACAACATTTCACTCATCAATATGTTATATGTTACTAGGCTTGGCTACTAAGTACGCTTGATAAAACAAATATGAAAAACAGTAATTTCGCAAGCAATTGCAAGCGAACAAAACAAAGTTTTATTTCTTTTAAAAATCAAATCAAGCAAAAAGGAAATCATGGAAAATCAAAAAATAATTATGTGGACAAAGAATTATTCGATGAAAGTTCTCCTGTGCCTATTCCCTTCCTTCAAGATATTCAATGCTTCCAAGATAGAAATTTCATTCTCTTACTGACACGTGAATTCTGCAACAACTTTGTAACCAACGTTGGTATGAACACATAGGAAGAATAATGGTAGTGCATATTTTGTATTTTTGTATGTTGCATCAAATAAGGTCAGGTCACTTCCATATCTCAGTAAGAGATTTCGTTGCCATTGCTCTTGATGGACGAAAAGAAAATTATTTCCTTCTCTACAATTCACAGGATTCCCGAAAAAGTTTGGTTTGCCTTCACGGGTACGCAGAAAGAAGTTTGACGTTTCTAATGACAATTTCCACGCGTCTATCTTTCGTAGCAGGGATTCCTGCTCGTCGTTGACTTCTTTTGTCGAGGCAACAGCTATAGCCACGTGATTACGTATATCTTTGGTTGTTGGATAATATCGACGATTTGTCATTTTGGGCTTTGTGTGCTCTGGTGTACTAGCAAACAAATCATTTTGTACGAATTCTTCAAGAAAACGTTTGACTTCTGGAATCGCTGTTATATTTTTGTTTGCTAGTTTGCGAATTCGTTCCACGATTCTTTGTCTACGATTTGGTTGACCAGTGCATATTCTCCAACTGGATAGTTAACATGCTCTATACTTAAGCGTACTTTTATGTAGTGTCGAGAAGATTTTAATAATGTCTCGCCAAAAGAAATCTTTTCTTTAGCTCTATTAATTTTTCTCTTTGGCTGTTCTAAAGCTCGGGGACAAAAAACTGCCTGATAATTCAAATTCATCGTAAATATTTATGTGACGTAGTTGAATGACGGCTGGGCAATTTAGTTTTCGCGTTCCTTGAAATTTGAGTCGATAGTTCTTTCCATAATTATGGTCGTCTGATGATCTTGGTTTCCAGCCACCTCTTGATTTCTTAGTGATAAAAAGACAAACGAAACTTAAAATTCTACAAATATACATATATAATGTTCAATAGTAAGCTTTAAAGACCTATGACATCCTGACATTAAGTGATGAAAATAATTTCAGCTTTTGTAACGTAAACTATAAATACCTTTTCTGATCCATGTACGCACTGCCTGGTTTCTGCTGCAATGATTGTAAATGGCCTGCGAAAATGATAAATTGGAATATTTCCACGCTTATGTTCAAATATTGGATTGTCTGAGAAAGTCCATATTTGTTTCTATGTATGTGTGATAATGATTTCCAATTGCTAACATTGCCAACATGCAACCCCCCCCCTCCCAACCCCTAACCTAAAGCTATGGCAGGGGGAACGAGTTAATAGGAGAACTATTTAAAATTATGTTATTTATACACCATTGCCATAGCACGTTTGTACTTACCTATTTCAGAATATCTCTTATGTCCTTGGGGTCGAAAATGTGACTCTGACGTAACAAAGTATGTGGAGCTAATTGCTGAGAATTGCTCGATAATTTCTTCGTAATTTTCATCTACGTAACCATAACAGCGATTCCATCGATGTAAAAATTTTCTAGTTCTTGCAAAATTCGATTTCTTTATCGATTATAATACCGTTGCCTGTCATGCTAGGATTCACTTAGAACTTGACAATTCTTCTTTACTAGCGAAAAGTTTCTTACACCTTTGCGAATACTGTTTTTAACTTTTTTACACTTTTGCACTACATGCGAGGCTTTATATTGTAGTTAAATTAGGTGCAGGTTTTGCAAGACGGAAAACGTTCTTGAAACTTAAGTGTAATAACGTGGTTACGAGTGTCAAGTACACCAGTTTTAATTTCGCGTATGAGTAATACTAGGTAGGCTATTTCCAAAAACTTTAACAGATAGTTCTAGATAAGTGCAGCGCACGTTATGTATTCAGTGCACTTATAATAGCGCATAATGCGCACGGTAAAGTAGGATAGGCTATTTCCGATGATGTTTATAGATATTTCTAGATAAAGTAATTAAACACGTTGGTCACTGCTCATGCTAATAATAACGCATAATACGCAATGTGTGTAGGCATAAGCATGTAGCAGTGTAGATAACATATAATATTATTGCTACACATATGGTGTAGCTTATTGCTATACACATAATATAGCAATAAGAAATAATTATTTCTAGCAGTGTAGATAACAATGCGACAAATGACTTCTTGCATAATGCATTAAAAATATTTCCGCATTTTATAAAGCATAAAAATATGTTGTGTTGTCACTACTGATAGGTATATTCCACTGGATAACGCACCATGTATAAAATATAATATGATGATTGAAGCCGGAAGTTAGCTCATCTGATTATGACCTTCGTGGTGTGTATCGGTCCCACTTTATTATACTTTTGTATTACGAAATCACGGTTTTGCGTTTTAATCGTTCTACAAACTTTTGATTCGAGCAAAATTTTGTAAAGAGACAGAAAAACCGGCAAAGATATTTAATCCTAAAAAGTTTGTCTTCTTGGCTTTATAATGACAGAAATATAAGATGGTACAAGGTCGGCCTGCATTGTTTTAAAACAAACTGGAGATTATATGATGCTGCTCCTTCTTAAAAAATGTAGAAATATTACAGAGTCCTACTACTGCTACCAAAATTTCATCTGCAATGACGTTTATGGAAGATTGCTAAAAATTTACTTATTTATCAACACTTTGTTATTCACATCGCTAATATCATAATCACTTCAAATTACGTCTTTATTATATCAGTGAAGAAACAAAACAAATCGACATAGAAAAATAATCAGAAAGAAATTCTGATGAACAATAGTAAGTTGAAAACGGTATCATCAAACTCTACGAGATGTACATCATCAAAATATGCGAATTAAAGTACCTCTGTTATCATTAAGCGAAGCAAAGTTTTCAACCAGTTTCTATGTGAACAACTTCAATATAGATGAATATGTTGAAGACATGAATACCTTTGTTCTAACTTTGTTGTAAATTTGTATTCATCTTCTAAAAATGCTTCTCACGGCTGAAATTGTCCTCGTCATCTTCAACTTTCAAATTTCAATACAACTTGCCATCTTATTTTACAGTCGTTACAAAGCCAAAAAAACAGAGCTTCAGGGTTAAAACTCTCTACAATAGTATAAGGACTGCCAGTTCTGGCCCACTTCACAGTTTGAGAAGGTATACACAAATCTAAGCGCCCCAGCCCTAGTTCGCGTACGTGGTTCACATACATAGTAAGCACATAGGTCGGCACAAAAATCAGAAGACAGCGAAGGCGCCCCCGGCTCGACACCCCTCATCGGCCGTGGGTCATTTGAAGAAAGACGATTCACAGCGTTTATCCAGACGTACGAACACTCATGAGGCGGGGCAAAAAGACTTGTGCGTGGGTGAAGGTCCACACTAGAGAACCATGTGGAAAGTCATGTATGGGGAAGTATTGCGAAGTGCATCCGCAACAAATCCGGCGTGGCTCACCGGTGCCGGTCCCATGTCGGGGTTGTAATATCAGCACGCAGACAGAGGTGCAACGATGCGCAGATTGTGGCCAGCAAGCCGGAAAAGCTCGCCTTCGTAGAAAAGAGGCCCGAGCACGAAGGCAGTTTAGCCTGGTCCTCCGCGAGGTGGATGCCGGGAATTTCCATTGAAAGAAGGACGCATGGTAGGTTAGATTCACTGATTTTTCATTGTATGCTAGGCTACATCCATTTAGAGAAGAGTGTACGATAGGTTATATTCATTGATATGGATAGTGTCAAGAAAGCTCTCCGACCACATGAACAAGGCGTAGTCAGCGTAGACGCGCTGAACGCTTTTCTTAAGGCGCTTCAACCACCCGCTGCCCCAGCGCCCACGCCAAGAAAGCAAACCACGACGCCCCATAAGGCCTCCTACCCAACCACCCACCATCTGAGAGCCTGGAAAATGCAGGTGCCTATTTCCATTTAGGGGCTGGTGCGGCTACCGTATGAATTGCCGCTTTGGACAGAATGGGGAGCAGGAAGTGACGTTTAAAAGGGTGTTTTTAATAAGAGAAAAGACGAATTGTTGTAGTTGAATCTTGTACGTGGGACCAAACGGTCCTTAAAGTAAATTAAAGACAGTAATTTGAAAATAATAAAATTGTAATTTGATTTATTCCCAAGTAGTATGACGACTTGATAGTCACATATTTTATATAATATAAATATGTGTAACATACAAAAGTTTAAAAAAATTCTATCGTGTAGTTTTTTATTTATAAGGCTTTGTTTGTTAAAGAACCGGAATTCTTAACTTAATTATGCAAGATTATATTACGCGCATTTGAGTCATCCAAGTTTGTCGATGTTTTTCTACTATTTATATTTTTGAGCACTTTCTAAAGTTTGGATATATTTTGGACAATATAAATTCTATGATATACTTGAGTTTAAAAAATTCTACCTTGTAGTTTTTTAGCTATAGAGCTGTTTGTCGAATGTGGTGCCAACTTCACAGTTTATACCAGAGTACATTCTTAATAAATTTTATTCCTTTTATATTTTTGTGCACTCTCCAGATTTTTAATATATTTTAGACAATATAATTATCTATATTCTGGCTAGGTTTAAAAAAATTCTACTGAGTAGTTTTTAAATTATACGCTAAATAAGAGAAATGAAAAGTACACTGTAACATAAAGCTTAGTGTTTTCTTTAATTGCTTGACTTTTATACTTTTTTGTGATGTTTAAGGACAGTAAAATAGTAATAAGAAGTTAAGAATTGTTTTTTACTTTTGTATTTGATGGAAAACGTGTTTTGCAGACGATTTTTCAATTTATCATTTTGAATGATAAATTTTAGTTGAATGTGGTGATTAATGTTGTGATGAGTGTTGTGTTGATTGTGGTGCCAATGTGGTGCCAATTTCACAGTGGTGTTCAAACCAATGTTCAAACACAGAATAAGGAATGTAACACTATCTATTCTGTTGTTCAAATGCCAAACGTACTTTTCGAAGCAGACGATGAGCGAAGTTTGTGCGATAGAAAGTGTGCCAGAAGTCGACGAAGATATTCCAAGGTTATCCTCAGATACGCTTGCTATTTTGAATGAGTTCTACCGCGAACAAGAAGAAAAAATGCAAACGCGAGGAAAGTGGTGATATTTCAGAAAATTGGGTGCGTATGTGAGTATTCTTGACTTCCAACCATTCTCTTGAAATTTGCCGAACAATGTTGCTCGCCCACGTTTGCTGGTGCCAACAATAACACTGATAAAATATTCTTTTGTATCACACCACCAACATCAACATTGCTAAATTGCTTGTCAACAATTGTGATGTTTTGCACTAGGTTCCGTTTTGTGTAACAATGTAACAGTTGGGCGAATTGCTTACTTTTTTGTTTATAGGAATTAAGACCTGATAATACACTTTGTTTGTCATAGAAATATATTAAGACATGTTTTTATTGCTCCATTCAAATTCAATTAAATCTTTTTGTGATTCCAATGAAATCCAATGCAATACGAACCTGACATGAAGGCAAAGGAAATTTGTAAATGCACAATTGTGACTTCTTGAGTTGATAACAAGCACATAGAGCATATTGTAAACCTTCAAGCAAATCAGTTTTAGTGGATAAATTTTGATTGCACTCAAATATTTTAACTTAACCTAGGATTATGATGAATGTTTGTTTTACCAATATAAGGTGTAATATAATTTTATGTACCTACTATATTTCACACACTCACTTGGGACAGTCAACTTGCTATATCATTACCAGAGACACAAAATATGGCAATGTTTTGAAAGATGCATAGAATAATATTTTTATTTTTATCTTTGTCTAAAATCTTAGTTGTCCAGGTCACATATGGAGCCTTGAAAACAATCAAAAATATTTCTTTATGTGTTTGGCATTATGCATGTTATGTTGATCTTTGAGTGATTCATTATAATCAGAAATCAGGAATACATAGAATAGAAATGTAATTAATAGAAAAAATAGTTCATGGCTTCCCGTATAACATAACATGTGCTAAGATAAGATTAATACTTCATGCAATAATATTATAGTGTAACATTACATAATCAATAATACTTCATATTGCTAACACTCCCACTTAATGTGCACTATAAATGCTCCTTAAGAATTACGAATTCTTAAACTAAAATTTCTTTGACACCTAACATGTCTCGAAAGTTTTGGAATGTTTGCTTTGGTAAACTTTTCGTCATAACATCCGCTAACATCTGATCTGTACTACAGTATTGAACAATAATGGAATTATCGTTGACCTTTTCTCTAACAAAATGATACGCAACGTCAATATGTTTAGTGCGATTGTGGAATCGTGGATTCCTCGAAAGTTCAATTGCCCCTTGGTTATCGTCGTTCAGTATAGATGGTTGATCTTGATTTATTCCAATATCCGCTAGTAAACGTCGTAACCATGTGATTTCTTGTGTTGCATAACTTAGTGCACCATACTCAGCTTCAGTCGAAGATCTTGCAACACAAGATTGTCGCTTGCTGCTCCAGCTGACGGTTGACTCGTTTATCTGGAACACGTATCCTGATGTAGATCTTCTTGTATTTACATCACTTGCCCAATCAGCATCTGAATATCCAACCACTTCGCATGTTGAATCTTTGCTTTGAAAAACAAGACCATAATTGATTGTGCCTTTTAGGTATCTCAACACTCTTTTTGCTCCCTGCCAATGCTCCCTTCCTGGCTTTGACATAAATTTTGAAAGAATACCTACAGCAGATGCCAAGTCAGGTCGAGTTGCCGTTGTCACGTATGTCAAACATCCGATAAGTATTTGATATTCATGAATATTTGTTGCGGTCTCTTCTTCGGGCAGATTCTGAAAATGTTTTCCAGGTTCTAACGGTGTCGAAACAGGTTTGCAATGTTCCATGTTGAATCGTTTCAAGATTCCTTCCAAATATTTTGATTGACTAATTGTCAATTTCCCCCTTTTTCTGTCTCGTTTGATCAGCATACCAAGGACATGTTTGACTTCATTTAAATCTTCAACTTTGAACTTTGATGCAATGGCTTTCTTCTCCACCTTCAGCATTTTCGTAGAATTGGAAAATAGGAGAATATCATCGACATGAATAGATAGTATCACGAAATTCACATTTCCATCTTGCTGTTTAATAGATTTCACGTACAGACATGGATCACAGCTCATTTGATTGTATCCTTTTGATTTCAGGTATGAGTCGATGGCGTTGTTCCAACATCTGTCTGACTGTTTTAAACCATAGATGCTTTTTCTCAATTTGCAGACATAGTCAGGATGCTTCTTACTAATATAACCTTCAGGTTGTTGCATATAAATTTCTTCATTCAAATTTCCTTGTAAAAACGCTGTTTTGACGTCCATTTGGTGAACTTCCCAGTCTTTTGCATTCGCTAAAGCTAACAACGATCGAACAGTTGTATTTCGTATGACGGGTGAAAATACTTCATGATAGTCGACACCTTCAGCTTGTGAATAGCCTTGTGCAACTAGGCGAGCTTTATATCTCTGTATTTCTCCATTTTCGTCTCTCTTCACCTTGAAAACCCATCGGCTTCCAACAATATTCTTATTATCTGGTAATGGGACAAGTTCCCAAGTATCGTTCTCGATAAGTGAATGAAATTCGGAGTCGGTTGCTTTTCTTTGATCAAATGCAGTCAATGGTCTTTTCTCTTCACCAAAGTCATGGAATTGTGTTTCCACAAACATTGCATCACGGCTACGGATGAATTTCAATCCAATAGGGTCATAAAACTTGTACCCCTTTGTTCCGTCAGGGTATCCCACAAAAAGTAATTTCCAGGATTTTGGGTCTAACTTCTTACGCTGGTTCTCTGGAATATGTACATAGCTCACACAACCAAATACTCGTAGATTAGCTACATCCGGTTTTCTTCCATATAGACATTCGTATGGAGTCATATCCTTTACTGATGTTGTAGGACTTCGATTACGTAAATAGACGGACGTATTTACAGCCTCAGCCCAAAATTCATTTGGCAAATGTGAATGAGACAGCATAGAACGAGCAGATTCAACAATGGTACGGTTCATTCTTTCTGCAATGCCGTTTTGCGCCGGATTATGAGGTACACTTAACTGATGGATGATACCATTTTTCTTCAGGAAATCTTTAAATTCCTGTGAGCAATATTCCCCACCGTTATCAGATCGTAGGGTCTTGATAGGTTTGCCAGTAATGTTGCGAACATGACTATGAAATTCCTTGAATTTCTCTAAAACTTCGCTTTTCTTCTTTATGAAGTAGATGTACGTATACCTGGAATAGTCGTCGATGAATGTGATGTAGTAGCGCGATCCACCAAAAGAGTTTACAGACATGGGACCACACACATCACTGTGTACAAGCTCAAACGGTTGGTTGGCACGGTAATGGTCATCTTTCGGATAAGAACACCGATGTTGTTTCCCCATCATACATCCCTCGCAGAATGAGATATTTTCATTTACATCACTCATTCCTTTAACCAAATCTCCATTTAACAATTTACGAACATTGTTCATTCCCAAGTGCCCAAATCTGCAGTGCCATAAATGCAAGCTTGAATTTGATGCGTCCTTTGCAATGTTCACATGTTCATGTCCAATCCTTAATTTGTACAATTTTCCTTGTATGTCCCCAACAGCTAGAAGTTTGGAATTACGAGATATCTTACACTTGTTACCTTCAAACATAACAGTAGCTCCAAGTTTTATCATGGCATAGACTGATAGTAGATTCTTGTCCAATTCTGGTAAGTACAATACGTTGCGTAATGATATGTTCTGAACGTGATCATCAAGTATTGCTTTCAAATGATAGGTGCCTTTTCCATATGCCAAGATTGATCTATTATCACCGAGATTCACCACCGAGGGTTGCTTGAATGTCACATAATCCGTCAGTGCTTCTCTTTCATATGACATATGCTTGGTAGCACCAGAATCTATGATCCAATCTGATATTCCAATAAGTTCAGATCCATTGCTTATCAAGGCTTCATCCTCATGCACTTCGTCATCTTGTCCTTCGGCACAATGCGCTTGAGTGTTTCTGTTTGCACCATTCTTAGTTTTCTTGTTTGGACAGTCACGAGCATAGTGTCCTTTTTCTTGACAATTGTGACATTTTCCTTGAAAAGGTTTTCTGTTGCTTCCATCGTTCTTCCCTTGCTTATTATTTTTATCACCACGATTCCTACCACGAATAAAATTTTCTCTATGAGCAGAATATGCATCTTCCTTAGTATTCTTCAAATCATTAGTACGGTCCACATCATTCAGAATTAAGTTCTTTACTTTTCAAAGAGATCTCTGTTTCTCCCATGGCATCTAAGGCTGTTATTAATGGTTTGTATTGCTCAGGTAAGCTAGCTAACAGCGTCATAGCCAATTCTTTGTCATCCACGCTGACTCCCATTTCCTTGAGTTGCTCATGCAGCGATTTGAGATGGCTGATGTGTTCAAGCACACTATCTCCAACATGGTATTTACAGGAATAATACTGTTGGCGTAGTCTCACCTTCTGAAGAAGTGATTCTCGTGCGAATTGATTTCTAATTTCATCCCATGCCTCCTTGGCAGTTTTCGTATCTCGCACGTGGATCTGTTGCTCGGGCTCGATGGCCAAACAGATGTACGTCCACGCTTTCTTCGCTGCCGAGTTAAACTTTCTTCCCGTTTCAGCACTTGCATCCTCATTTTGAAATTCAGCTGTTTCCTCCGCATGCTCGAAAAGATCCAGACTTTCCAAATACAGCTTCATGTTGAAAACCCATGAGCGGTAATTACTGCCGTTCAGTTTCGCGAACCTTAACGCATTCGACATATCCGACGTGGCCATGCTTAAATTTCGACTATATAACCTTTTTTATTTTTTATTGCAATGACTTTTCACTCAAATACTGACCTTCTACGTCCTGGGCCCATAACCTGTTGATATTTGAGTGATTCATTATAATCAGAAATCAGGAATACATAGAATAGAAATGTAATTAATAGAAAAAATAGTTCATGGCTTCCCGTATAACATAACATGTGCTAAGATAAGATTAATATTCCATGCAATAATATTATAGTGTAACATTACATAATCAATAATACTTCATATTGCTAACATGTTAGACTAAAAAAATTGTACCCTGCATTATTTATGTTAGACTTGAGCAAAATGTATTTGTTTAGTATAATGGCAATTGATGAACCAGGCAAGAATCTCAATCATGATATGAATATTAGAGCCAAATTAATACAAATTAGCATAAAGTTGTTTTTGATTTAGTAATATTTACATCACTAGCTTGGTACACTTGCTTGGATGATATCTTGGGTTTAATTTGAAATTTTAGCTTTCTGTTATGATTTTTTATGCTTGTTCTTTTTCTTTCATGATGGGTTGTATATTTAAGTATGGATTTTATAAAATATTCAACATTGTTCAAAATTTTGCCAATGTGCCAACCTTTTCTTAAGGAATTTTGTCAGCAGCATTTTGTTAAAGTATACAATGCTGCATTTTCTTGCTGTTTTTACTTTTTTTGCCAAAACATTGTATCACTTCCTTTTTTTTTTGACAATCCTGCAAATAAAATATTATCATTATATTTTTCACTCTGAGAGTACAGCATAATTATTTCATTCATTTATCTTGTTTGGATGAACTTTAAGAATGACTGTTGACATTACTTCTGAGTAGCAACAAATTTAATAAACATCTAATAAAAACAACGATTTTTTTAATAAGAAGGACATTTCGACATTAAGAAAATGCCGTGCGACATTCAGTGCGAATAATAGTGTTATGAAATATGATACATAGGAAGATACGAATAAATTATTCATATTGAATGGAGGTGTGATCTTTTTAAAGTAGGTTTGAAACAAAAGTGTACATATAAATAAATAAGTATTTACAATAGAAAATGGTGATAAATGAAATTGAACCTATTATAAAATAAAGATAGTGTTGTAATGGTGAATTTGAACATTTAGATCAGGATTAGTTCTATTGATGTGAAGAGCTTCTTTGATTTTGAGAGAGAAAGTTGATTGATCGTTGTCGATGATTTTAAAGCAAGAAGTTGAAAATTTATTTTTACACGAAGGGCAGGCATGAAGATGTTTATAGATGATGGAGTTTTTGTCTGTATTTGTGTGTTCCTTTATTCTGGTAGATAGTTCGCCAGAGGTTTCACCAATGTAACGGCAATTACATCCTGCACATGAGAACTGGTGAACTGTATCATATTTCGTAACACGATAAAACATGTTTGCTATTAAAATAATCGTCGTTTTTATTAGATGTTTTTTAAATGACTGTTTAGTTGTCAGACTAAAAAATTGATATTATGTATTTTTGAGTGTGATGTATCTTTAAATTTCTGCTTTTGATTGCCTGCGAGTGCATTATACCTGTTCTTTGTTGAAGTAATTCTGTCTATACCCCTCCCTTCTTCCTCCCTCTTTGATTAGTATATTGATAAAAACGCTTGGCATATGCTTTTTATCTTTAGCAATTAAGTCAATTTTGGTACGATGATCACACTGCTACAGTTTTAGCTCAAGAAGTTTTAGAGATCAGTAATGGAGGAAGGTATGATTAATGATCTAAAGTGTTAAGGCTGAAACAAACTAGGCAGTCGCGTCTATAACTACCGCTTTGCGAGGTTACTAAGCAGGTCGCAGCGTCGCGTCATCTAGTCACTTTGAAAGTTCGACATGTTGAATTTTTGACATTGGTCGCTTTAGTCGCTTTTGGCCACTGATTGGCCAATAGATACATTTTAACTCCCCAAATGCATATCATATTCCCTTTCATAAGCATCATATGGAATTTATAGATTATAAGATTATACCTTGGAAAACGAGGGCAAAATAAGTGAATTCACAGTAGAATCATTCAATTTTTATACTTATCAAATATATGGACAATAGGAGCTACCAACTGAAACCCATTAACCTAAATACACAGAATAAGACTCTCCACGACATACACGTAATGGGCAATGATCATATTGACGTGTTTTAACTGGCTTGTTCTCTTTTGTTCACATAGTAGTTTGAACTGAGTAAATATTCATGTATTAGTAGCTATAATAAAGGCCAAAATAAAAAGTTTAAGTGATATCTGTGTCTGTAACAAACAGAAATCTCCGCCATGCTCAAAAGACGCCACGGTCGCGATTGTCGCGATGGTCGCTCACATGTGTGTTTCTGGCGTTCAAGGGACTGACGCGTGCGCATCAATTCGCTTTAGACGCGCGACTGAAGCGACTGCCTAGTGTGTTTCAGGCTTAAGAATGTGGTTTTCAGGGTTAGTTATTATAGAATTAATAATTTGTTAAGTGCCCAAATGTTATTGTTTGCATGTTAGAATAGTTGATCAGAAATAAATTTGTTTTATAGTTTAATACCCACGTCACAGCGTGAATATAGTAGCTATATGAGAAATCAATGAACCTGATTATCCTTATAATTATGTCATAGTAAGGATACAATAAATATACTTACTAGATCTGCATGTACTTATATATATATAAGGAATCAATGTACTTGATTTCCTTATACGTATGTTATAAGTGAGAATGATCCATAAGCAGTCAATGTGCTTGATCTCTCTATATTCGTGCCATAATGAGAATGATACATAAAAAATCATTATACCACTTATGGTGCTCCTGGGAGCGAAACGTTTTATTTGCGATAGTAAATTTAAAGTATGATTTCTAACGTATCAGTGAAAATTGAAAAAAAATTAGTTTGGTCAAATCGTACCATTTATGTGGGTAGCCGCTGCGCATACTGCAATATGCTATACTGAAAAAGTGTCTGTCGTTTTCCTCGGAGATAGTCGGACGTATAAACTATGACGAAGAGGGCCTTTAGTGTGTTCGTTATTTTGTTGGGAAATATCGCAATGCTGTTTTCCTAAGAATTTTTCATTTCGTCCTGTCGATTGACTCCAAGCGAATTTTTTGGTGAGAGAAACCTAAACGTTGTGTCTTAAAGTTAATTTAACGGAATTTTGTCATTAAGTTGCTAAGCTTGCTCAATTTTTGCTTTCTGCAATTTTTGCAACTTCGAAAGTTTACGGTGAAATTGTACTGTGCATAAGGTCAGCATGACGGTGAATAAAAGCTCACATATCATAGTACGTATGTAATACATAAGCTATATGTGAACTGTGAAGCGTCTGTTTGCGTACAAAGACAAAGCAGAAGTTATATACAACAAGCAAAGAATCGTCGGTGACACAATCCTGTGAAAAAGTTGTTATTTTGAGATATATTATCTACAAACACTACCATTCAAAATTACACTTGTATTATATTGCCTGTTGTTATTTATTCAGTCAAGCGAAACTAAATATGAGCTCAATTCCTCGATTATACAAACGAAATTTCAATACTTTGAAACTTCATAAAAAAAGTAAAATCTAAAAGCCAAGATATTCAAATTCAGGGTGCCTGGCGAAGTGGAAATTCATGTATTAAGCACAATCTACTGTGGACGCTCGTAGGACGACGTTGCATCCGCCAAAGAGGGACACTTAAATAGAGGCTCGTAGGAATGCTCCTTTAAAAAATGTTCTCTAAGACGCTATTTCTTTCAGGCAGGCTTTATGATTGTCTAAAAGCCACGCGTCTTTAAAAACGAAGGTTTCTGTCAGATGTGACAACAAATATTCTATTCAAGACAATTTTACCGACAATGTTTGAAGATTGCTGCTTATTAGACTTTGATATTTGACCGTTTACAGCAAGCTACTATTTTTATTGCTGTCCCCCTTAGTTCCTTCCCTGGCAACGCCCCTAACCTCATGCATGGTACTCGTCAATACAAAATATCTATACCAACTACTTTGGATGACATCAGAATTTGGCTTGATTCAGACACCATGCAACGACTGAAAAGGTCCATTGATGGAAAGGCAACTTAAAACCGCCATAAAAATTTAAGATCCTGTTAAAATCTTATTAAAATCTTAAGAACATTTGACAATCATCCTGACAATAAAATATTTTGACAATTTTATCGTCAGGTTGAATAAACATAGCATATGATGTAGCAATTTTTGTCTGAATTATTTTTACTTTTTTTTTGCTTTTGTGTTTTCATTCTAGAATTGGTTGTTTATGTGCTCCGACTTTGTTCAAGAAGCTACGAGAAGTGAAACCAAAAAATTTTAATGGTGAAATTTGTCTATTCGAATACGACAAGCGTTTTGCTGTTTTTGGAGATAATTATATATTCTACGACTACAAGGATCCATTAACGTTTCCATCTTATGTTCGAGAAAATTCCTTCGACGTCATTTTCGCCGACCCGCCATTCCTTAACAAAGAATGCATGGAGAAAGTTTGCAAAAGTGTGAACTTTTTAAAGAAAGACAAAGTCATCCTTTGCACAGGTTTGTTTAAAGCCAATGTTCGTACAGCTAAAAGTAGTTGTTTCATGGTTGAAAGGGCCTTATCACCTTTTATGTTCTTGAAATCTCATCGATCAGTAAATTTGTGGAGTATTGGTCAACAGGATAGTGTTGAAAAAAATATTGATATAAATCCACTTTCACTCTTAACGCTATACTTGCCATATAGTGTTTAGTATTTTCTACTTCCATGTCTTCTAAAAAAGGAAATTTCTTAAGTGTGGTGTTGACAAAAGTAAGAGTAGTATCTTACCTCTATAATGAAGGGCTACGATTGGCTCGAAATACAATAAGCTCAGTGTGGCCATTTAGAGTATCCCGCTACTTTTGATGGTAGCCTAGTTCAGAACAGTGAGGAGTGTTTAGTCTCATCCGACCGAATGTAGTAAAAATTGCATTTACGGTCACACTTTTGTTATTATTTATTTATTTTGAATTTGAATGGCAGCGAAAACTGCTGAAATTTACAGATTTAAATGCATAAAAAAGACATTGTAGAATTATTTGGATATTTTGTCATAAAAAATATATTACATCAATAAGGTCTAAGGCTAGTTGAGCAGTTATGGATTTTAAAGAATGTGTATCAACCAAGATGCATTTCTTGTTGATCACAGCGTGACGGCCTTTTTGTAAGTTGAGAAATGGTGGATTTTGTGATTGCAATACATGCAACGTAGACGAACGATAATAATTAATGAAAAATATAGTTTTGATAAATGTTTTTTGCTGACTTTTTCGATATAGTAGACAACGTTGTGACAAAATTAAATTCAGTGTGCCGCAAGCTCAAAAACTAATGTTGCAAAGATAAACAAAAGCGTGCAATGCATCTTGGTTGACACACACTTTTTATTACTTATTCGTCTATGAAATGTGTTTGTAAAAATATAAAGTCGAATATATTTATCTTCCTTATTTGAGCAAGCATTGAAGAATTATGATTTTAAAAATTGCGAATTAATTTTGAATATTACCGTAACTGCGTAAAAGCACTATTAATATTGGGCATTTAATAAAAACGACAAGTTTTTTTTAAAATAAACATGTTTCAACATCTCATGATGCCATCTTCAGTATTATAAGGAATATTATGTGTGTGATGAATATATATAAAAGTAATATGATACTGTGATATAATTTATACACTTATGAATAGATTATTATATTACAATGAAATAGTGAATGGTTAGTTTTGCATGAAGGTGATTTTAAAAGGTGTCGAAAAATATGTGAGTTTTTTTCAGTTGTGGTGTACTCCCTGATTCTGGTGGATAAGTGACGGGAAGTTTCGCCAATGTATCGGGAATTACATCCCGCACAATCGAATTGGTATACCACCATATATTTAATAGAATCAGGGATAGGATCTTTGAATGAGATGTAGTTTTTGATTTTGAAGGAAGTGAAAATTTGTCGGATGTTAATGTCAGTGCAGAAGCGTTTGATTATGTTTGTAAGTCTGCGTTGTGTGTGTCGTGAATGATGTCCGATTTACGGTAGTTTAAAGTAAAGAGTTTTTATGGACTGTTTGATGTTGTTGGTCGTGATTGTTATATCGGATGTTTTGGTGTTTGCTTTGCAGTTAGTATTAGTTTTGTCATGGAGATATCGTTTGACAGTTTTGTTTATGAAGTGTAGTGGGAAAGAGTTGCGTAATAAAATAGATGTGATGTTCTTTAGGTTTTGTTGAAAGCCATTGTCGGTGTTGTTAAATTTTGTGTGCTCTGTCTATAAGTGTGCGTATTAATCCAGTCTTGTATGAAAGTGGTGTGAAACTGAAGTAGTTCCTCAATAGTCCCGTGTAGATTGGTTTATGATACGTCGACGTTGTATAGGTGTCATGTGATTTTGTTAATAAAATGTCTAGAAAAGGTAGTTGGTTTTGTTTTTTAGTTTCGAAAGCAATTTTAATGTTCGTGTGTTGTTTTTTGATGTAACTAAGAAAGTTCATAGCCTCAGTCTCGTTTGTAAAAACACAAAAAATATCGTCAACGTGTCTGCGGTAGAAAAACGGTTTTGTGTCGTTGTAGTTAGTAATCCAGTTTCGTTCATGTGAACCCATAAAAATGTTTGCAAGTATAGGTGCTAGGGGAGAGCCCATCGCAACACCGTCAGTCTGGTCATAAAATTTTCCATCAAATAAAAATGTGTTTGTGCCCCAAAGCACGTAAAACTATGCTCACACACCGAAAGAAACTTAGTCATCTAACGAAGAACAAAGCTCTACCATTCACACACAACGAAACAGTCACCAACTTATCATCACACCAATCGAAAGACGAAGAACTGGAACTTTTTAAAAATGGCCTAGACTTCAGTATCAAAGCACTAGGTCTTAGCTCGACCAATATCCTGACAACATTTGAAAGAATCCACCAAACTATCAAACACAATATTCGTAATCAAGAAGACTACACACATCTCAAAACGGAACTTGCACACATTGCTCACTCATATATCATGTCATAACCCTACACCAGCTAATTTTAGAAAACATCTTATCCTTAAAAACATTCGCAACAATCCCAATATTATCATTACCAAACCGGACAAAGGAAATGGCATTGTAATCCTAGATAGTCAAACGTATCGAAATTCCTGTTTTCAAATAATAAACACACCAAAATTCACGCCGCTAGATGAAGATCCTACACTATCCCGAGAAGCTAAATTACAACGACTGCTAAGAAAATTGAGAAAGAAGGGTTCAATTGACAACGAAGTATACAAAGACTTTACCCAAAAGGCTCTCAACCATCCCGTTTATATGGCTTACCCAAATTACACAAGAAACGTAAAGCAAGACAACCGCCTCCACTACGACCAATTATCTCATCAGCGAACACGTACAATTATGATCCAGCAAAGTATGTCAGTTCCATACTAACACCACTCATACCAGATGACCACTCCACTAAAGATTCTTTCACTTTCCTCGACGAATTCTCATCTTTCAACTCATGAACTTCATGTCAAAAATTCTTCATCTCCTACGACGTTGAAATCCTATTCACTAACATACCGCTTACTGAAACGATTGATCTAGCCATTGACGCTATTTTCACCGACAACCCTAAGTTCACTATGACCAAGACAGACCTAAAACAACTGTTTTTAATATCAACGGCACAAACACATTTTTTATTTGATGGAAAATTTATGACCAGACTGACGGTGTTGCGATGGGTTCTCCCCTAACACCTATACTTGCAAACATTTTTATGGGTTCACATGAACGAAACTGGATTACTCACTACAACGACACAAAAACATTTTTCTACCGCAGACACGTTGACGATATTTTTTGTGTTTTCACAAACGAGACTGAGGCTATGAGCTTTTTCAGTTACATCAAAAAACAACACACGAACATTAAATTTTCTTTCGAAACTGAAAAACAAAACCAACTACCTTTTCTAGACATTTTATTAACAAAATCACATGACACCTATACAACGTCGTCTTATCATAACCTACCTACCAACCTATACGGGACTATTGAGGAACTACTTTAGTTTCACACCACTTTCTTACAAGACTGGATTAATACGCACACTTATAGACAGAGCATACAAAATTAACAATTCCGACAATGGCTTTCAACAAGACCTAAAGAACATCACATCTATTTTATTACGCAACACTTTCCCACTACGCTTCATCAACAAAACTGTCAAACGATATCTCCATGACAAAACTAATACTAACTGCAAAGCAAACACCAAAACATCCGATATAACAATCACGACCAACAACAACAAACAGTCCATAAAAACTCTTTACTTTAAACTACCGTAAATCGGACATCATTCACGACACACACAACGCAGACTTACAAACATAATCAAACGCTTCTACACTGACATTAACATCCGACTAATTTTCACTTCCTTCAAAATCAAAAACTGCTTCTCATTCAAAGATCCTATCCCTGATTATATTAAATATATGGTGGTATACCAATTCGATTGTGCGGGATGTAATTCCCGATACATTGGCGAAACTTCCCGTCACTTATCCACCAGAATCAGGGAACACAACACAACGAAGTATTTGCCGGTTGCCAGTCTCCCTTAAATTTGCGCGGTTTTTGCAATGCATTCTGGGATCGCTAGGGGGCAAACATTTGTTTAGAAATATATCTGTCATAGTGACATTTTCGAGAATTCTCAATTTAAAGCACCTATTTCCATTATTATGGCTATTCGTTGTAATGGGTATCCGTTACCAGTTGGGAGAAAAGAAGTAAAAGTATGTGGAGACGGCAATTGCTTCTATCGAGCAGTTGCGTTGGTTATAACCAACGCAAACGTTGAAAGCGACGAAAACTTAGCTCACATTCGAGAAATGTGTAACGATGTTTTGATACAAAATCCGGCTACTTTTCGACCGTATTTATTTCGATACGAATCGATGGAAAGGCATCTGGAGCGAAGCATTATGTCCGCTTCGTGGTGAGAAACAGTGGATATGTACGTTTGACCCACGGCCTTGCAGCATGAAATTTGTGTTTATGCTATACTTGAGCAGAAATGGTTTTATTTCACTACTCGCCTGGTGTTACGTCCATTGTTAAAATGTGATCGAATTTGTGATGGTCCGATCACTTTGGTCTTGCATATCTTTCACAGAGCTGCTTCCCATTTCAATCTTTTGCAACCTATCAATAGTTGTTGTCTCGCCCCAATACCTGCCAATGAATACCAACCACCAGTATTGGTTTATCTTGAAGTTAAGGAAGAACCATCTCTTTCTAATGACCAATCACCTCCACTCAAAACTAGAACTGTACCTTGTCCATCAAAACCTAAAACATTATCCTGCAAATCCAAACCCAAAAGCGAGAGTGAGTTTGTATGGAATATGTCAATTTGAATGCTGTGGTTCAAGGACACTTAAATTAAGTGCCCTCTAACATGCAAGAATATGCATCCCAAATCTGCATTTTTCTCAGCAGCTATTTGTGGGAAAACTAATGATAGTGGAAAGAAAGTGTTGAACAGGAACCATTTACATTACTTTCAAGTCCAAATGGGTATGGCTGTAAGGCAAATCGACAAATGTGATTTTATTGTATTTACAGAAAAAGGAATTGATATAGTACAAATACCATTTGATGCTGACTTCTGGAGTGGTGTATTTAAAACTGTGTTTCTTTTCTATAAGAATTATATGATTAGTAGTCTTTTATTGAAATATGTGCAATGATAAAATTTTATATTTACAAATAATAGCTTTTCAAAATAAAATATTAAGTATAATTTATTGTAGATTGTGTGAGGATTACTTTATACCACACTTTCCTAAATTACATATGTACACAGAAACAAAATATTGTCCAAAACTGGTTTTAATGTCAATGGAATAACTCCTGATAAAATCTGAAATTGCTTTAGTTTCATTATATTCCTTTCGACATGAGATCTTAATTGATGCAACACGCCGAGTATGAGTTGTTCCACGACAATAGGCAGGAGAAATAAGGTGAACTTTCTTCACCACAAGTAGATCTCTAACAAGGAATCCCTTATCAGCCATGACACCATCACCTTTTTATAGCAAATTTATGAGACCAGAGTTGGTGACTTAAAGCTGCTCCATGATATTTTCAGGCTACCAGGTATCTTAGGTATCTGGCAAATAACTTGTTCAATAAATACGTTTCTTTTCAATGTTTTAACATCGCCCTGGCAATAACAGTCAATGAGATCATGTTTATCACTTTCAAAGCTGTAGCTATCATCAGAATCATAACTTGTAACATCCAAGTCTGTTGTACAATTTATTTGTGGACTGTCCTGGTGCACAGACTCTGGCTCAGTACACTGCTCAGGAGCAGTGAGTTCAGCAGCAAAAAATGCCTTATCCTCATGCTCAAAGCGTTTTTCAGTACTGCCTTCACAGAGAATTTTTCGTCTCTTTATTTTCGGAATATGTGATTTGCTTCTATCTTTCGGCAGTAATCGTTTACTGGTTTCTTTTGATTGGTATCCTTTCAGATACAAAGTTGGATTGGGAAAGCCTTCGGATCGATAATCAGCAAGAAAATGATTAGAACAAACCTTCGTATTAGTAGTGACTTTGAAGTTTTTCCTGTTGATCAGCTTTTGCCGAGCACTCTTGTCTTTCGTTTTTCGGAGAAAAAAAGCGAAGAATACCAACGTGATCGGAAACGATATATTTTTCAGGATATCTCCTATCGTTATCACAGCCATAAACAGCACTGTGATCCCTATTCCCATTATAATTTGAATATAAACTTTTTACGAAAAAATATCTTTATAAAGATACACAATGTTTGCCCCCTGGTGATCCCAGAATGCATTGCAAAAACCGCGCAAATTTAAGGGAGACTGGCAACCGGCAAATACTTCACTGACAAAAACTCACATATCTTTCGACACCTTTTAAAATCGTCTTCATGCAAAACTAACTATTCACCCTGTTGCTTTAAAATCATCGACACTGCAGATACTACATTCGTACACAAAATCAAAGAAGCACTTCACATTAACAAAAGTAATTCTAACTAGGCTAACTAATTTACAGGCTAAAACTAGTTTTAACACTATATTCAGCCTGTAAATACTTTCATCATTAATTCTTACCACTATTTCATTGTACTATAATAATCTATTCATAAGTGTATAAATTGTATCACAGTATCATATTACTCTTATATATATTCATGACACACATAATATTCCTTATAATACTGAAGATGGCATCATGAGATGTTGAAACATATTTATTTTAAAAAAAAACTTGTCGTTTTTATTAAATGCGCAATTTTGAATATATGATACAATATGTAACTCTAAATTTTTGAGCATAAATTTGTGGCTCTGTTTTGTGTCAAATTGCTTTATAATGTTAATTTTTGATAACTTGTGCGAACAAGATGCCACAAGACAATACTGCAAGCTACAATTAAGCTGTAGTTTATATATATTATTATAGATAACTTCTTAAAGTCCTTTTCTTTTTTGTGTTCCACTACGAGTGCAGTTCTTTTATGCGGCAATATTTTCCTGTGTAACTCTCAGACACCTATATATTACAATTCTCCAATTCATTTTTTGCACGCAGGTGTACAGATGCAAGACACCGTGTGGAACCTTTTTGAAGCAAAACCCTCTCTGTTCGTTCCTCGGCACGAGAAAAATCTCATGAACGCTTTTCGATGTTTTACAAACTATGAAAGTAGATTGAACTCCGTGATTTTTTAACTTATGCTCACAGCTAAAGATACAAGGCGAGGTAAAACGAAAGGACATTCTATGCCATTAAACGTGTTATTACTTAAGATCACAGTGTAAAGAATAAACATTAGCATCACTTCGCTGCGCTACTTACTGATGTATTTTTAATTTAATTGCTGGCTGCGGTTCATCATTCGTTTCTGTTAATAATTGCAAATGTTGGCTGCCACTTAGATTTGACGCGCGGAGACTGACGTGACTATTTTACGTGTTATTTGGAAAATTTATTGTGTTCAGCCAAGCGTTTAACGATTTCGGCAAATGGAAACGATTTAATACTTATCATCAGATATATCTTCTCAAACACTTTCACAATATTCTGATTCAATAACTACGCAACACATTTAAAATTAAATCAACCAATTTGCCCTAATTTGAGAATTACAACCGGAATGACGTGTGGCGCTTTGCAAACAGTTTTAATATTTGACGTTGAAGTTTTGGCCCCTTTCAATCACTTGAAATCCTCGGGCTAGCTCTCTATCCGGGCCAATTTGCCTCCATATAATCAGGCCTTAAGAGCGAGCTAGCCCGATGATTTCGAGGGATTGAAAGAAGCCAAAACTTCAAGGTTAAAAATTACAACTTTTGCAAAGCGACATTTCCAGTTGTAATTCGTAAATTAGGGCAAATTGCTTCTTTTAATTTTAAATGTTTAAGGTATTTATTAAATCAGAATATTGTGAAATTGCTTGAGATGATTTATCTCGTGATAAGTATTGAATCGTTTCCAGTTGCCAAATCATTTTACGCTTTGCTGAATCCCGGCTATCGGGCTCATTTAATCAGGGCCTAAGACAAATTTTGCTTGTAAATAATTCATCCGATGTATTTACACGATTTCAAAACCAAAAAGTACACAAGAATGTCGAAGAACAATAGCAAAGTGTTTCAGGACCCTTTGCGTGTCATAAATTCAACGTGACGGTTGGGCATTGAGGGAATTGGTCATTATGGATTCTTTTAATATTGTAATCCCTATAACAAAAAATGGTGACTTTCGCTGTTTATGCAATCAGAGAATAATTAACGAAAAAATGTAATTTTCAATGTCAGTTATTGCAGTTTGTTTGTATTAATGTCAGCACTCAGCATCGGCCTTAATCTTTATTCGCGCCAGCTATACGACATCAATTTAAAAAGACTTAAAAAAATTTTTGTGAAATACTTTTTTTAAATGTTCATTACAGAACAGATATGCGAATGCGACATGAGATAAATTTGCATATGCAATCGCCACGATGCTTACCCGTTATTAGCTAGTTTTCTATCGGTTGTTTTTGCAACTCGACTTTCGAATTTTGATAGGAAATTTTTTTGTAAAAAAGTGGTAAACTCTCTGTTTGAGTTTCAAGTCAGCAATGAGCAATAGATTTTGACAATGCTACATGTATCGCGGCTATTGCCTTTGAAATATCACCATCAAGCGTGTGGTTAGCTTACTGATGCTGTTAGGAATTCATTTTGATGGAGAGAGCAATCTGGATTTGGTTACCGTAGTGAACAAGTTCAACGCTAAATTATCCAAGTGTAGAATTTTTCTCTGAACATCAAACAATCAAATGAAATGACTCACTGAAGTTTTATCTTACTCGTGTATTTTTAATATTCCCTGTTATTTTTATAAATTATTTCCTAGTACACCACTGATTCATTATATACATGCAGTTAAAAAGAACTGCCCACCAGCCAAAAAGTTTAACTGGGTAACATTGACATAAAGTGCCAAAACATAAGATTTAAGTTAAGCAAGAAAAAAATAATAGTGTATTTAGTAACTAATGATCCTCGTCTTATTTTGATTATAGCTTTGTATAGGGTAAACAAGATGTTCAATATTTTAATAAAGCTTTGTCGGAGATAATTATTATTTAATTATTACTGTCCAACATTACATGCACCCCTGCAATCGGGAATCGTTGATATCTTATAGCTCGTCCGACGTGGTCTCCGACACATTTGCTTGTCTCTTTTCGTGTTTCCTATTTTTCTGTTTTTATGATAATTAGTGCTATTAGGTGTTTATCATTTGCAATACTTGTACATAGCTAGTTCTTAAATGTTGTATTGCATTTATAACTACTGTGTTATTATGTTATTAATATTCTAATTCTGAAAAAGTGTGGTCCATTCTTCCCACCACGAATCTGCTGGAATTGCAGTAATGCACGAACATATTGCCTGCCCCGAAGCTCCCAAACGGACCGTGGACCCAACCCGAATTGGGTCTGTTTTGGAACATTTCACCTGCACGTATACCACGTTGCAGTCCACGTAACCCGCTTATTAACGCAAATATCAGGGAGAGGTAGATGTTATCGGTCCGAAAATATTTGATGGTGTTGTGAACTCACCAGCACGTAGAAAACCAAAGAAACCAACGCAAAAAGCTTCCCAGAACAAGCAGTCATCATAATTGTCCAAATTTAAGAATCCTTAGATCTTGGACAAGACATTTAGTGTCACCGGTAGCCTTTGGCGTTTGTACACTCTCTGATTGCGTTTGATTTCGCGGAGGGTTTGCTCAAGTCGGAGACAATCCCTTTAATGAACTTGTTACGTTTCTCGTAACAAGAGATAGCGAACAGAAAACTAGTCAGCAATTAAAATAAAATAAAGAATATGTTTAAATTGATATAGAAGAGTTCAATAGAACTTATCTGAGACACAGGCGACGACACTGAGAAACTCACACGACTGCATTCAAACGACCTTTGCTCCAATTTGTATCTAACCAGAATGCCTCCTGAATGAGTTTGTCAGCCTCCTTTTATACTAAATAACAATCGTTAAACCATGCTGAATATCATGCAAATCTACAATAGCAATCTCTAAAACCATGCTAAATATCATGTAAACCTACAATAACAAAATACATGAACAACAAGTTTGACAACATGCTTTTACGCAGTTCGTAAATATGAACTTCCTAAACGTCATTATATTAAAATAGTTCCTCTTTTCAAACGAGCTATACATGCTCATAGTCATGCACATAACAGATTGCATAATCCATTTTCAATGTGTAATGAACTCACAGCTGCAAGGTAAACTTTGATGGACGACGCTTTAGTTAATAGAGACAATTGAGCCACGTAGAGCATGAGCGTTTCCTTCCCTGCTGGTAATAGGGAGTTTAGCAAGAGTACGACTACGACTACGAGTACGAAATTTGACCGTGTAAGGGAATGGCACGAGGAAGTTGGTTGTCGTTATCGCTTCGTCAAAATTTTGCTTTAGTTGTAAACAACAGAACAAGCCTTTTTATTGTGTAAAACACCGACGTTTGCGAAGCAGCTACGGCTCTATTTGTCAATAATGATATCAATGACTCGGTAATACTGGTTTTGCGAGAATATAGGACTCTTTAGACTGAAAAATCTTCACTATTTTAAGTTTTATGTACGATATAGTTGTACTATTTTATTGTTTGTTTACCGTTCACTTTGCGTACGAAATACATGAAAGTTTTGCAGGTCATATTTTCCTTTTTAATATACATCTGCGCTCAAAAAGGGATCTAAATTAAAGCCTGGATGCTCGAAAATAGTACTGTAAACTAATTTCTTACAGAATGAAGAAATATACCTACTTTCTTTGCTTAAAAGACATCGTAGTCGCGACTACGAATTTTTTACAAAACATCGTACTCAGATAGATGACGGCAACGTGTTTTTGTTGTCGCAACAATGTTTTCGCGCCAAAATGACGTAAATCGTAGTCGTACTCGTAGGCTCTGCTAAAGTTCCCTAATGGGGAGCCGTCGGGATTCACACGTTGCGACCAATAGCAAAACTGTAGAAAGCGTCGTTGAGCTGAATCGTAGCTGCGCCGAGTAGCTTGGGAAATCCCCTGAAATATCAGCGATTAAGCCCGCTGCCTCAACTCATTGAGCTCAGTCGGATTAGCAAAGTTGGTGGGACATGCACTGGTTGTGGATGCGCTTGTGGTACCAAATCAAAGGAAATCTACATATGAAAGCGAGAGAGAGCACATCAGCGACGCCATTATTCTTACTCAGAACATGCTTCGCAGTGACAATAAAATTGAACTGCGCTGCTCATAGAAAAGCAGTTGCATAAGCAAGTTATTCTTGGACGTGCCAGACGTAATCACCGCCACACTCCAGTCATCGCAACAAAGCTGAATGCGGCTATTGCGTAACTTATCACCCCATGCATGACATGCAACAACGATAGTTCTTTGTAAAAAATGCCTAAGGACAGTTGAGCTGGGTACCATTTCCCGTTAAACCACTGGCTATTGAGGAATGCTCCATATCCTAGACCGCAAGATGCATCAGTAGAGAGAAAGAAGTCGGGTACCTCCACCCATTCAGGCAAGTCGAAAAAATAAACGCCATGAAGGCAACAGGGCACGCCACCAGGTTCTATCGATTCCATTACCTGTACAAACGGATAAAGCGCGATCTTTTGCTTGAATGATCTTTTAATAAGTCTAGAAGACGACGGATAAAGGTTCCTTCATGAGGGACTACAGCGCATGCGTGATTAAGCTTACCAACGAATGATTGCAGTTCCTTCAGGTTAGAACTCTGTTTTGAGGCCCACTTATCTAGTAAGTGAACACTTTCTTCGCGTTTTTGTCATGGAAGCCGTGCCGTCATACCTACAGAATCAAGTTCAATGCTCTAAAATGATAAACAGGTTACTGGACTCACGCATTTTTCTGGCGAAAGTAGGATGTCCAATTGCGCAGGCGCACAATGAATCACTTTTAAGCGAGCGGAACACACGTCAGACTCGGGTGGTCCCAAAGTAAAATGTTCATCCAAATAATGAAGCAAATCACTCACATTCCAATCGTCAACAATATACCAACCAATGAAATAGATTGGTCACTGAGTCAAATATAGCGCTGCAGGGGAAGAACGTAAGCCAAAATGTAAAATCAAATCAGCATTATAATTATTACGCCAATACATGCCAAGTAGATGGCGATCATGCGGGTGTACAGGTATTTTACGATAAGCGCTTTTGTTATCAACTTTCTCTATTAATTCTCCTTCTGCCGTTTTAACAATTAATGCGATAGCGTCGGATACTTTGCTGTACGCCAGTGAAAAGTCATCTTTATTAATGCCATCGTTAACACTATTACCGAAAGGGAATGATAAATCAAGAATGAGACGCCAACCCCATCCTTTTGCGAATGACAACAAAACGACTAATTTGCAATGGTCAAGTCACACGCAGGAAATAAAATGCCAAAAAAGTTTAGATTAGGATTAAGTACTGGAGATTGCTCGAAATCACTCTCACTGATCGCCCTTTTAAGGTCATTTGAGTACTGGGTGTGGGGACTTCGGTCCCGTTTACGATTGGTTTCTTGGTAATGGATTCCTCTATGTGACCCGCCTCAGCCGTTTCTATCACAATAGTTGCGAACTACAGCGATCATAGCGGCAGAGGAAATGACCTTGTTTCCACGATCTACAAAGACTGTGGAGTTCGGACCCCCAATATCTTCCCGTGCCCTGATGCTTTGATTCAACGGCGGCTGTTTTCCAACCGAAGTATGATAATGATACAGATCAGAATTTATTTGGTTCCTGTTTGTTCGACCAGACGCTGCAGCTTCTAAGCGGAATGCGCGGTCGTATTTCAACCAACACCGTCCTCCAATTTGCCTGGAAATTTTAATTATAAGGGCCATATAGTAATAACTGAGATATAACTTGTGAAGCTCTCAATCCAAGTTAAAATATCATGTGTCTTTTTTACGAAAGATTGGCAATATGGTTGGCACAATTGAGCCACCCTCAATCGTAAATGTTGTCTTCTCGCTCTCGACAGAATTCATGTTTTCGAGTTCCGACAAATCGACAAACTTTAGGGCCAAAAAGTGTGTAACGAGTTTAGCACGAATACGGTGACGACCGGGACCCAAAATAAAAGCCTGGCAGTACCGTCACAAGTCACACTGTAAATATTTAGCCCATGTGAAGATGCTAAGCGAAACGATTTGCTAACCAGTGCACTCAAATTTGAAGAATTTATTCCACTACATAACACGTAACCAATAGGACATTTCCAATGTCCTCGTAAACCAACTAACATAAACACAAGAGCTTCAGTAGCAACCTTGTCTGGATCAAAAGCAACAACATCCGCACCAAAATTGACAAACCCTTCATAATTTCCTTTACTTCTGTTGTAAACAACCCCTGACTTAATGTACATACCATCAAAAAGAAGAGCGCAGTCCCTATACTCCGGATTATTTCTTGCTTTTTCTTGTAGAAATGAAAACACATCATCAAAAAACCCTGGTTCACAGTTTACACTGGAAGTCCAGTTTCAGATAGCGCTTGGACATGGCAATGTAAAAATCGTGCGTACAAAATTGTACGCTCGTGGAGAGTAAAAATTAAGTGTTAACGCAAACTTTTTAACTTCCTCTGAGTATCGACGGCCTGTAGCAGCACGATTTTTGTTCTTTAGGTCTGATTTTAAAATTTCCCCACCTACTCCTGAAAAGTTGTTATCGAGAATTGAAGCTGCGTCTGATGAAATAAATTTCTCTTTTCAAGCTTTTCACCAAACTACTTAGCGACTGAATTTTCGTTTCCTTACGTCGTAACTTTTGCTTAAGAGTTTTATTTTTCTTCGCAATTTTTTTCCTGGGACTACTTGCTACAGCATTTTGCGTTGGTATTGTCTCTTCTATTAGACTTTCCTCGAGCAAATCTATTTTAGCTTTTTCAGCGCTTGGTGATGATGTTTCTGTCTCTCTTCTAGCAGGAGGCTTTCTTTTTGACTTTTTAGATAGTAGTCTCTCCGGAAAAGCGAACACTGAACTTTAACTTGCGTTTATAGGCATTTTCAGTGTTATAATCATCGTGCAAAAAATGATCGCTGCAAAGAAAGCTGCTTGCGTTTGGGGTAAAGTTTTTTCGTTTCATAGCAATGACCCATCTTTTACAGAGGTCCTTATTTTCAATGGGAAATTTGTGAGAAGCTATGTTACTCTCTTTTGAAAAGCGATTTGTACATCCATACGCGGCGCACGATTTGACCATGAAAAATCGAAAATTACGCGCTTTGCAGCTAAAATGTGCTTCTTGAGCGTTGTTTTAGAGTTGAGGATGTTATACCTGTGTTTGTTTTTAATATTGATTGCTTTCAACGTTTTTCAACCATATATTTGAGTCAGTTTGACATGTAAACTATACTACCGTATATTGCGTGTTATGTTTTTTGCCACCTTTCAAGATGGCGCCCGCGAATAAAATTTGCCTCACCGTGACAACGGCAGTTAGCTATCTAGAGGATTGGGTATAAGTCATTGGCTCCGATCTCTCGATTTAGCTGCAAGTAGCAATTTGTGCGATTATTATAACACACTTCGAACTTGTTAGATTTGTCTAACAAATTGCGATTTATTACGGGTCATTGATAAAGAATATTAAATTTAGAAGTTGCAGATCGTGATGGATCTATGAAAAAGGAAAGTAAATTTACTATTACATGAATTTTTCAACACGTCATGCGACGTATTTGACGTAGTCTGGATCCGCCCCTGGAGGAGAACTTAGCACAACGTATCGGGGTGGATATCTATCGTAACATCAACGTGGAAAATTTCATCCCTGTTGCTGCCAAGGACAACAATCCGGATTTAATTGCAATAAGGTTTGTAAACATGTTGTTGTATGTATGGATTGTATGTTGATGATGTCTTTATCGACGTTATTGAAGCAGTAAACTTTGTTTACACATTTTGGCAGAAAGTGCACCATGAATGAATTTAATCATTGTTGCTTCATTCAGTTCATCGCTAATTTGCTATTACTATTAAAGTTGTGCATAGCAGTCAACCTTGCTTTTTTTGCCAGAAAATGTAATATACTGCAAAATATGTGGGCTTTGTTAGTTTATTATGTTCACAGTTCACACTCATGAATTTTCATTATGGATACAATTGGTTATTTTGTAGTTTAAAAGCTATCCTCATGAAATTTAGAAATTATTTTTAGTGCCTTTAAACAATTTATGACCACACCAACCTCTTGAGCTTGATAAAATATGTTTTATTTCTTGTTGTTACCATTTAGATCTAATGTAAGTGGAAATTGTATAGTTCTATTTCTATGGTGCTTGTTGGGGATAACTCTCTCATTACCACTCTCAGACTAATGACCTCCATTGAGCTGTTTTTAAATGCTGATTATTACTGTAGACATCCATGTCTCATTTCACTTTTTCACAGCCATAAGAATATATTCAGATCTTTGTCAGGTATGCTAGCTATGTGTGTATCATTTGAGGCAATGGATGCAGCAGGTAATATAGCATCTTCTAATTTGCTGTGGAAGGAGGCTTTGCTAAACTGTGCAGATAATAGGTGGCGCAGTTTCATTTGTTTATTGGCTTTAGCTTCTGTAACATCCAGAACTATATACTCTTACTATCCTGATTTTGATTCCTGCTCAGAAAAATGCCAGCTTTTGTTTAATCAAAGGATTGATCCCTGATCTCTGAAATCAGAACTCACAAATTTTGCTCATATAAGAATTTTATTTTGTTATGAAGGTTTACTTGATTCCTTTTCATCATTTCAGCACAATAATTATGTTCCATTATTATCTTATCAAAAGGGCTTAAGAGAAAATGCACTTTTCCTTCTTCTAAACCAAACAAAAGTACAACTCTGTTTAAACTGTCATTTTTAACTTCTTGTTCTAAAAGTCTTTATCCTCAAGGCTCTTTAAGTGCAACCAAATTTGATGGGTCCATTAAAACACCAACATCATCCCTGTCATCATCAAAAAGTGATGCTATTGATAAATTTTACTCTTCTTTTTCTAGCCGTGCCCTCTGGCATCTAATTCCACCTGTGATCATGAATTTGATGTTGCTTTTAGGGAAAGAGTAAAAGGCATGAACAGTTCTGAAATTGAGAAGCTTATTAAAAATGTTTTTATTCCAGATATTCATTATGAATTCCATCTGCTAATGGTAGATGGTTTCAGTGTGACTGGTTGCAAGATTATTCCTGGTTGTGTTACTCACCCAAATTAGATGGTGCATTTTGTCTTCCTTGTGTTTTGTTTGGACACAGATTTCCTAATAAGCTTGGTAAGATCAAAAAGCTTTTTATTGAACCACTTAGATATTGGCCTGATGCTAAGGCAGCTTTCAAACGCCATGAAAAGCAGTATCAGGGCTGCATTATGGCTCGGATGCTTTGATTAAGGATTTTCTTTACCAATCTTCAGGTAAAATGAAACCAATTGATATGGTGTTAGATTCTAATTTAAAAAATAAGATTTTAGTTAATCGTCGTAAACTGGTTCCTGTAGTTGACACGGTCATTCTTTCGGATCAATTAAATCTGCCTCTACGCGGTCATCGGGATGATTCCAAATATCACCCTGAAATAGTTAAATACTTGTGTCCAGGTGTAGGAAATTTTGTGAGGTTGCTTAACTACCGCGTTTGAGGTGGTGATGTTACTCTAGAGGTTCACTTAAAAGACCACCCTAAGAATGCTTCCTATGTTTTCAAAACCACTCAAAATGAGTTCAGAATCAGATGCTGTGGACAAACTGAACAAGTTTTCTCTGATGTTAAGAAAAGCAAGTATTATGCGATCATTGCTGATGAGACCTGCGAGATTTCTCATAAACAACAAATGTCACTTGTGCTTCGTTTTATTGATTCTGAGCTCATCGTCAGATAAATCGCAGCGACATCCCTGCTGACTGCACTTCATATTACTATAAGAGATCTATCACGATTCCTGTAGTCGATCATATAAATTTGGAGTTAACCAGAAGATTTGAAGAATTTTCTACTAATGTTAACTATGGTTTATATCTAATTCCATCATAATTAATTTCTTTTCTCTCTCATTCCAAGTCTGGATCCGCACGCTGGCAGGATAAGTTCACTTTATTTGCTACCATGTTTAATGATAATCTTCCAAATTCTATTGCTTTGGATGGTGAGCTTGAATTGTGGGAAACATATTGGAAATCTAAGGTAGTCTTCCTGATAATATTAGTTCAACCCTAAAAGCCATTAACTTTCCGGGGTTTGAGAATATTAAAGTTTTGTTGAGAATTTTAGGAATCATTCCCGTAACCTCTTGTGAGTGTGAGAGATCGTTTTCAGCTTTAAGGAGACTTTCGATTTTGTAGCCAGCCAAGAAGGATTATCAATGCTAAATCCTGTACCAAATATCAAGCAAAATAATCATACAATAATTTCAAATATAATAAGTTCTCTGTGGTACGCTTACCAATAATACATAAAGAATAAAACGACAACTGCTTTCCCAAGGAATCCATTGTTTTCTGAAGAGGAGTTTATGGCGGCTGAAACGTGAAGATAAATACTTTTAGAGATGAAAATAAAGTCTAAAAGACGTTCGCAAAATTTACATTCAATATGAACGCTACAATGATAAACACTAAAACATGACATGAAACAAAATTTGCGAAAAGTGAATATACATTGAAAACTGGCATGTGAAAATTTTTTATCTAAACAGATGTTGTGTTAAACGGGAAGAATCAGGTGAAACATGTCATGTAAAAATATTTCAATTAAAAACTTTCCGCGTATAGAATTAACATGTATACAGTGTATAAAATTTACAAACATAGCATGTGAATTGTGAACGTTACGTAAAGACATTTGTAGAGTAACTGATGACAATAAAGAAACCTCTTCAGCTTTCATGAGTTTGAAAACTTCACCAAACTGCGTGTGGTCGCCAGTTCCCGTTACTATCCCCTGCATTATAATTTTCAATTAATTTTCATTCGTAAACAAAAGCAAAGATAAAGTAACAACAAAAAAAAGAAACTGGAGCGAAACCTTCTAACGGCGGAGATCTTCGTGCTCATTAAAATCACTTCATAACACACTTAACATACATTTCCACACTTTATCACCCTGTACTTAACAATATTTAATTATGTGGAGCTCTCAGTACCTAGAAAGGGTTTGAAAATTTTCACCTTGTCTAATGCCGTTGTTAGCACTAAATACATTTAAAGAGTACAGTTTAAATTGTATGACGGTCTTAATGGTAAGGCCCAAAGGTCTTGACTTCTGTTTTTACCAACATAACAATAACATCACTTCAGAAAAGTTCATAAAGTTAAATACCATCCCTCCATTCACCATTTTATTTCATTTAGAAAAGCACAGTTCCCCCCTCCGGCTACACAAGAGTCCATCACAGACATAATGAAATTCACACCCTCTAAAGCCCTTCCTTCCTGGTACAACTACAAAAAACTCACCTTTCCATTTCCACAGCGAACCAACGTGCCCATAAACGCAACATTTTTTTTGCTCCGTAAGGCTACTGTTCGCTAAGGCTTCTGGTATTGATGACGTATATTTCCTCTGGGGTTCAGTTTCCTCAGTGAAGCTTGATTCATCAATTTCAAGGTCTACGGCCTAAACACAACAAAAATATCAAGGTGAGGAAGACAGCTGGTCTTCATATGGTGAATGAGTGAGGAAAATCAGTAAAGTTTTCAAAATGTATGTTCAGAAGCAGTCTAGGGAGAAACAGCTCACCTCAACCAATCGTATATCAGCTGGTACACGATCACCAGTAGCTATGACAACAATATCCCCACAAACTAATTCTTTAGCAAGAAAGTTTACCAATGAACCATTCCTAAAGCTAAAAATACAGAGAATATTTGACAAAGAAAAGGCATCCAACATATATAAACTGCTGATAACAACAAAACATTGACATTCTTAAGTTAAGAGTCCATGCACATGGTAGACATATATTGTCCAATTATAATGCTTACAATTCCAGATGCAAGCAGCAGCAATATCATAAGCTCTTTGAACTAAAAATTTATACAAATTTCTTTAATTTATATACTTCGCTACAGTGAGTACATCAGGAGTGATCTGACGTTGATTCTCGAGTCTTTTTATACTCCAGTCTGGTGTCATTAGAAGTGATATGATGGTGAAACTTGAGTCCTTTTATACCCCAGTCTAGTGTCTTTACCATAATTAATCTGATGTTGAAACTTAAATTCTTATATACTCCAGTCTAGTGCCCTCATCATAAGTGATCTGTTGTTGACACATGAGTACTTATACACTCCAGTCTAATGCCTTTATCATTGATCTGATGCAGCCACTCGATTCCTACTAGAAAAATCTTAACAGTTTAAAAATAGCCAACCAACCTGATCAAAATATTTTCGCCATATTGGAACTTTAGCTCCCGCATCAAATTCGTTCAACCCATATATTCTTGCACGTCTTTCGGCTTCAGATTTGTCCAAACCAGTAGATACATGAGTTACAAAGTCCCTTTCTACATCGTCGATGGACAAGCTAGACACTTTAGTTGATGGCATAAACGGCAACATTTTAATCTCCGGAGTCTTACTCTCACTATCTGTTTGAGATTTCGAATTCATTTAAACTGTACAGTTTTCGCTAGCCTCGCAGACGAGAAGAAACTGTTAGCGTGTTTTCATTTCGGATATCCCGAGGACATTTCTGTCAGCAGGTTAATTCAAAACAACTTAAACAAGCCAACATTACAGAAATTTTTAATTTTAATTGTCATAAATTTATTTGAGCATTCATTTGCAAACATCACAATCATGCCGGTCGGTACTTCATGTAAGTATTTTTATTCATAAATTTCACGCTCCTGGAGGGGGAGGTGGCTGTGTCCTTTCCAAGAGCTTATTACCATAAACTATTATTTGTCTTCCGATCAGGCAGAATTTATAATATTAATAATTAAATAATAGACATGGATTCATATTGCCTATAAAATTTTCCATACATCGTCCAATTCTGCGAAGAATTTAGCTATCAATTACTGTATAGGAAATACTTTACCATCTAAACTATTTTCCTTCTCCTCCTATAAGCCCCATACCCAGTGCAAACGCCCTCCCCCCCGTCAGTGAAAAATCCATCACAATCATGACCATCAAATCATTCCATAGAAAAATCCACCCGTGTTATAGTTCATACGCGCATTTAAGTCCATATGATTAATAGTGAGATGTTCACAGATCACTTCAGTAGTTCACAGATTCCATCCAAATTCCGGAAAATAACATACTATTGAAAATTTTGTTTTACGTTAAGAATAATTACAGCCAAATTTTTGTATATCTTGGAAAAGTTCGGTGTTCGTTGATATTTAATGATAAATTTTTTTATTGATATTTTTGCATTGATCTGAAAGATCTTGTTAGGAAGATTGTTTTACTCTTGAACACAATACATAGAAACACATATATATAAGGATTTCCGGTTGTATTTCATAGTTGATACATCTTGACTTACAATTCACTGACTGACAACGTCAATCAAAACATGAACGACTTATTATATAGAATGTAAACGGTCCATATAAAACATCCGTTTCCCAAAAAATTAATGCCATTTCCAACCACCCAATCTTCCTCCAAGAATGAACAAACAGTAAGTTCTTATTAATTGTATTCATACAAATTCTATTAGTTTACATCGAAGTTTCGAATACTTGGCTATCATTTGAAAAATTGTTTTGATTTAGTCAAATTTTATATTACATACGTATGATCTTATTTTAATTACAAAAAAATTTCTATGAGAATATCAAGTGTACGCTGCTTGAAATTTTGTGCAAGTTATTTCAAAATAGGTGGCAGAAGTCTCTTTTGGAATACTTGAATTTCTTTTTGAAATTCTTCACTAAATTAGAGAGCGAGGGAACTCTCTAGTTTAGTTAGAATGTTGTAAAAAAATCTTTTATGTGCATGTTTTTGTGTTTTTGTGCATGTTTATGATCATCTGCAAACACCGAAGAATGGAAGTCGAAGATTTTGTCTTCTCGAAACATGCCTTCTTTAAATTTTAATATCTTCTCCAAAAATAAGTAATAAATATTGGTTTAACTTACTGCAAGAAGCGTTGCTTGACAATGACAGGTTACGGCAATGTGGTTCTGAAAGAAATTGAAGCAAAGAAGATTTGATGAACGATACAAACAAATACATGCTTACATCTCTGTTCTGCTATTCTTGATCTTATCGACCTCTGCATCTGAAAAATACTGAGGAAAAAGTTGCAGTATGATGAAGCAAACAAGCAAACAACTGACAAACAAACACATACCGCAGTCTCAATCTTCATCGTTCAGTGCCATGAATAACTGTAAGAATAATGTTAAAATACAATCATGACGAACTGTAGGAGCATATAAATTTTCAAAAACCAGTGTTTGCAGACGATCTGTCGAAATTTCTATCAAAACTGGTACTTTACGATGATTTCAGAAAACAGCTGTAAACTGCAAACATTTACAGGAAAGGTTTACTTTAATGGCACAAAAGTTACTGTCAGATTTTTCAAACGAAGTCAATCATCTCCATTGAACATAATGGACAGACGAGCATTCATGACGAGCCCTCAAGTTGGATTCGAAAATTTGAAACAGTTTCCTCTCCCGAGGAATTATCTTTATGATTGCAATAGTTCTATACAATCATACAAAATAGCTATTTTGGCTAAATCATTTACCAAACATTAGAACATCACCGGAAGTTAAATTTTTATTGCTTTGTAGACACTGTTATAACATCCCTCAATATTATAACAGTGCAATCATAGGCACAAATAAACCATTAAATATTCAAAGTAGACGGCTAGTCTGACTGGCTCGTGATAATCATTTCGCATAGATGTTGAGTTTAAAGATTTTTGCAATACTCTGCCAGCGTATTGCAATTTCTCTTTTCAACCATGATGATTGATTTAATGTAAATTAGATTTTGTTTTAATTTTACACAAGATATGAGCGCAAGAAGCACTCTTATATTAACATGCTCTAAAGCATGTTAACTGATTTGTGCTAACATCTACAAAATTACTCCATGGTATATAGAAGCGCCAGTCAGTTGTTGCACAAGTACAACACATCTCTTTACTACCAAATCCCCCAGTTATTACCAAATCAAGCACGTGTCAGAACTAGGCAATAAGCAAACATAAGCTAGCTCTCTGTTGGTCGGTCGAATTATTGATATGGACAATGAAGAAGGATGTTTTGGGTCGAAGGATGATCTGTTTCTTCCGTTAGCAACATCTTGAAGTCAACTTTGTTGTCTAGAAATATAGAATACGAGAGAAATGAAATTGATTTTTCAGTATCGGAAATCATCGCACCATGAACTTATTATGTTCGTTAATAAATCACTAATCACTTTGGTTACTTCTTAGTACTTTAACATGGCTCTCTGATCAAATAATTTAGTATGTTCAGCATCATAAATTATTGTGACACCCTGGCTCTTGCGTTCACTTCATTGCCATCTTTTCTTATTATCGTCAGTGATTCTTAACCGTGTACACTTTTAAATTATTTGTTTTAAAATTGAGTTTCTTAGCCTGTGGCTGTCATAGAAAAATGATTTTCTTCTTTTCAACTTCCAATGGCAAAGTTACACAACGAGAAGGTGCTTTTGGTGCTGTCTTTGGTCATACTAGTCTTACAGCACAAGCAAAAGTGATTATTAATTGTCAAACAAGACAGAATAAATGAAGGATTAGAATCAACATGAGCATAAACAAAACAATATTCAAAAGAATTTCCGTTTTCCTGGTCTTTTAGGTCTCATGAGAAAACAAAATTGAATGCATGGTACACACGAATAGAATAAGCATAAACGATAAAACTTTATTTCTTTTTCTCTTCAGAGTTTACACAGAAAGACATGGAAATCTTCTTTCGTTTTCTCTTGTTCTTTTGTGTTCTTCTTTCAGCTAATGCCTAACACATTTCCTTAAGCCTGTGTAATGGTGTAACTTCGCTCTTTTGAGTGGGTGGGAGGAGCTTTAGGAATAAATTTGCCCATAAAAGCGTGGTGTTATTTTTATGTTGTTTCCTAAGCTGAAAGAAGTATAAAATATTGAAAAGAAGAATATGATTTTTGATGTTTTTTTCTGTAAACCCTCGAGAGAGTCATAAGCACGCTCGTTGCTTATGCTTGTGATTACGTAGATGTTAATGTTCCAACTTTTGCTTATTGTTTTTCTTTAACACTTTATTGACACTTGACACAACATTCAAAAATAGATATATTCTATTCAAACAGTTCATGAAAAAAATTATTGCTTTGTTCCGACAGTTGGATTGGCTGGATTTGAACAGGACGTTCTATACGAGAAGGGATTACGTTGGTTTTATTCAGTTATTTTGGGGATGATTGACGTATTATCAGTGTACCGTATGTCAAGAAGCATCCTATGGTGATACAGGTGAGCCATCACCCCTCAGATTAAGCTCTAGGATATGTTTGCTACAATGACGGAATCGTTGTAACAAAGTCTTCTGTTCTTACTTCATATGCTTCATCTTGTTTTATACAGTTTTCCAAAATGACTCAACTGTAAATATTGTAAAACAAGCACGATTAAAAGCGTGTATATAAATTTGTAAAATTTAAGAATTGCCCAAGAATTTGTCCAAACAATTAATTTTTTGAGAAATTTCCAGAAATTTCCTTCAAATAGGCCATTCTTTTCTGAGAAATTTCCTTAGAAATAAGACCACATTTGACCATCGTTATCATGTTAACTACTTCATGTAAAAGTTATATATCGTCTTCCAAGAAAACAACATAACAATTTTTAATTTTAAACCTCACAAGCATTCGTTCTCCGCAAGAATATTTCTCTCCACATATCTGTTGTAAAAGAGTGAAAGACAAATAATATTTTAAAGAACATATAAAGTTTTTTGAAAGCTGAAACAAGGTAATAGATATATATGTTATTGTTATGCCTGAGTCTGACTTTGACTTTCATAGCGGGAAATTGAAACGATATTTATTTTTATTTCTACATAGCAAAGATATTTAAGTTTTTTCCTACACAGCCAATATTGTGAATAATCTTTTGTATAACATCTCTAACTAAAGCAATATCGTTAAAATGGATAAAGTTCAAGAACTTTCTGAAGCACTGCCTTTACCAAGTCAGCCATTCTTAAACGTCGAAGTAAATGAATGCAAAGAAAGGTTAGTTCATAAAATGAACAAAGGACTGTATGCAGAAGGATATTGAATTGCATTTCATGTAATAATCTAGTTGAGTGAGTCTGTGTTAGTGAAACCATGCTACAGGTGAAACTAGGTAATGAACAAATCATGTTTTTGTTTTGTAAAGAAACTTGAATAATTTTAATATGTTACTAGATTGACGTCACTGGTCATATGTTGTGCTTCAACAGACTCACTTCTTCAAATACCACTGTGCTGTCAAAACGTGAACAAAACCATTTATTCAATTTGATAATAAGCATTAACATCTTAATAGTATTTACCACTTTATTTTAGCACTATCCCAGAGTATAGAATTATAAAGCTTGTCAAAGACTTTCTTATCAACATGAAAACAATTCATGGCGACTCATGTTTCGTAGAATTTGTTGATCCTTTTTTAATGGAACATGTCAAGAGCATAACTATTGTGTATGACACAGATAATTTTTCAACATATGGCAAGGTTATTGACCCTATGATCAGACAATATTTACTTTCGCATGTGTGAGAGTAGGTTGTTCACACCCCCCTGGTATGTCACACATCCCTTTTTGTTGAACCCCACGGAAAAGAAAATGCAAGAACTCTTAGAGGATTGACTTAGTTTGATAATGAAGATTTACATGAAGTACATATTTCTGTCAAACCTTCATAATTCTTTTAACAGATAATTGATTTGAAAAAGTTATGCTAAAGTATCATGTCTATCAACTTCATGATGGGGGGCATGGATATGAAGAACTTGAGGATGATATATCTGCTCCAGACAACTGGCTTTTGCCTACAGGTGGGTAAATTTTGCCTGCAGGTGGTCAACTCACTTCAGTCCCAGGTCTTTTGCTTTCACGAGTTATAAGTATTAGCAACTAATACAATTAATTCATCATTTTAGAGGATTTTCAGGGCTTGTGGGAAAGCTTGCTCTTTGACTCGGATGTGAAAAATCAGGTTGTTCTTCATAATGAACATTTAATGATTTCTCTCGTGAGCGAAGTTTAAATTGTAGCTTGTTAAGGACGTCTTTAGCGCCGAAATAAGTTAACGTTTAAACAGTTAGCTGTCAAAACGTCAAATAGATTTTTTAAGGATTTTCCTAATTTCTCCTATTTTCCAATGTACATTATGTACTCGGAGTTACTGATCAACGGAGTTACTGATCTGCTAACTTATTAATCTCTAATATTTTCAAAAGGTTTACGCAAGCGATGACATTGTGCACCGTAGTGGTGACAAAGCTTACTTAGTAAACATTAAAATACACATCTCAGCAATTCTAGCGAGTTATATCGATTAAAAATGTTAAAAATTTTGTTGTTCTAATTTATTTACGAAAGTATATGTCGTGCCATGACTATGATATTTCATGTATCTCATTTTATCTTATTTTTTAGTTGCTAAAATATGCGGCAACGACACTTCTCTTCTCCGACAGGTTTGTCGTGTGAAATGAAACTATTGAACTGAAGACTTTTAGAGAAGCCAAATTGCAAAATCGTTCGTTTTTCCATCTTTTTAAAATCACTCCCAAACAATGACATTTCAAAGTATATATTAGTCACGTGTTTGAATCATATTTTAGAGGCGTGGATTTCAACATCATCTCGTGAAATAAAGTTATCTTATTGCATGGTAAGTTAGTTTCCTTGGTAACCAGACGTGAGTCCTTGCGTCATCGTCCGTCACGTGTATCTTTTTACGAATCAAATTAGATTCTATTTTTGCGTGTGTTGACTTTGTAACAACTCTCATCTTAACGGAGTAAATCTCTTATCACTCATAACATTCAAGATTGAAAAATCACATATCAAAGTATTGATAAGAATAAGTTAGCTACAATCAGATAGAATGAAACGCGAGAGACGTGATGGTGTTTTAACGAGCCAACTATTAAATGACGTCAAGGCTACCATGTTTGTGTACCGCTGTGACGTCACTCGAAAACAAACAACGAAGCCAATCAAACACCAGCATTTACCACTCATAGTACATCATGTTTGTCTTCACGTGATCTACTGCAAATATCCAGAAGAATGAGTTGAGCTTTTCTTTAAAACTTTCACAGAGCCAACCGGTACTGGTGAAACATCCTTATGCAAGGCGCTTGCTCAAAAATTATCCATACGACTTTCTAAAAGGTAAAAACACTACATTTTATTTTGATGTTACGTAAATCGCAATCCATTACTATCCATGTGTGTACTGCAACTAATATTGCCACGTAATTTTATTGTTATGTCGTGAATTATAAATACAAAGTATAATCCGAAAAAGGACATGTTGTAAACTCAACATCAAATTTAGAAAACAAGACGATTAAAATGTAAATATTACACTTTCAATTGTTTTGCTTTGTAACTTTATTTAAGTTTACAAGATGTTCTTTTGGCATTATCTTTACTTTGTTTTAATGAAATTGTCGTCTACCTAAGGATTATGAACTATAAATTAAAGTGTGTTTCTACTTTTGAATCCTTAGATTTAACTATGGCCAGCTTATTGAAATAAACATTCACAGTTTATTTTCCGAGGTAGGCATCATTTTGAATAGCTCAAAGCAACATCACCGAGTGCGAAAATCCTCTGGAACCAAAAATTACATTGCATAAATTTTCCGTGAAACCTTTGTCGTCACCCCCTGTCAATATAAAATGCACGGCTCACATCAAAATATCAGTTCGGAAAACTGACATTTATATACCTGGGATTGAGATGTCGTTAAAGTTAATAAATCTAATTCCGTATCACAAAATGATCATATCCAATTGAAAATAGCATCTGTAATTTAAAATGTACATTGACATTATCTTTCCCTAAAAACAGAGTGGATTGACGACAAATAAACTTTAGTTTGCGTTCTTATCGACGAGGTAAACTTTGCTTAAACATTTCTTTCTTAATGCTCATGGTCAGATAGATGAGAAATCATTTACTATTTGTGTTTCTTGTTTCACAAAATACCCGAAGCACATGTACGCTTGTCGGTAATGTTTAAGGAAAATACCTTTGCTATCCATATCTTTTACTTCTGAAGGTTGAAAGTTTAACATCGGCAAGAAAATCTGCGTTGAACGGACAAGAACCTTCAGATGCCATTCGTGTTGTGAATGCATTTCTCACTCAAATTGACCATATAAAACTGTAAATGCAAAATATAAGCAGAATATGCATTTCGGCGAACATTGCGTTCTCATGGATTTTTTAGTGAACTAAGAGATTGTATTCGGTTATATGAACGGCGAGGCCAGCCGGCAGGGTTGTTGCGTTATGTATTATTTAATAAAATAGAGAGTAGAAAATAGTTCTAAAGATAGCAAATACCATAGTAAATGGTAAAAGTAATATAATAAGTTGATAGTTCTTACAAGAACTGTTGTAAGTAAAGAGCACTAACCCAATAAATTAAACGACACGATGCATTTCGGCAGACTACTCCTCAGGTGTCAACGTCTGCTGAATGAAAATTTACAATCTACCGATATTTATAATGCCAAGACAACAGTCTTTATCAACTTATTATATTACATTTACCATTCACTATGGTATTTGCTATCTTTAGAACTATGTATTATTTCTTTCTCTACAATGTTGTCGCTTTTACAGGGAGTAAAAGCACGAAAATATTTATATGACATGAACAAACTTGCTTGATGACAACTTTGCTCAGTCAAATACTTATTATCTATCAATTACGTATTTACAGAAGTCTTGATTTGAACTACATTTATGCGTTTATTTGCTAAACCTAGTCTTCCCCAATGTTGTTTTCTTCTTATTTCAGACATCCTAATGTAATTATATTGACAACATCGAACATAACTAGAGCCATAGACGTTGCGTTCGTGGACAGATTGAAAATATGTTTGTGACTCGAAAGTTTTTTAATTCACTTTCTCATCTAACTTCGCTATTTGTTCGCCCACAGAGCCGACATCAAACAGTATATTGGTCCGCCATCAGCCAAAGCTATTTACAAAATTTACCATTTGTTTGTATGTAACTTATGTCTTCTTGTGCACGTGATCAACGAAATGGCTGCCGGTCAATTATGTTTTCTGGCCAAAAGGAACGCCGAAATGGCTTACCGCAACCTATCATCATATACAATATAAAACAACAATTTGCCTCGTGAAGTATATCCCCTCTTCTCAGTACTTTGTACCTTTACGTCTACTGCTTTATTTCCATACCACAATATAGTCGTTTGTGCAAGTTATACAAACATGTTGCTTAAATAGAGATGTGTGCAGCTATATAGAAATTGATTGCAAACGATTGCATTGTAGATAATTTTTTAATAATCAAAATTAATGTTCACCGTTTCATCACAGACCAGTATCATATCACCAGTATCATATCTGCGCTTGCCCAGATAATTTCTTTGATAATTTGCGATTAAGGGATAATTGCCACAGATGTAGTGCAAGTACATCTAGTTAGTCGTTGCCATGACTATAAACAATTAGTCGAGTGGGCTGGGAATGCTCGAGCGCATGCGCAGATGATTTCTCCATTAAATTGTTACTAAACATGCTATTTACTTCAAAATAGGGGCTAGTAGATGCAATTGGTCGTCGCCATGACCATGAACATTGGCAGCCAATCAATTTAGCTGCGCATGCTCAGTTGATATCTTTAATAGTTTGTTAATAAGCAAGTTATATACTCCCTAATTGATGCTAGTAAATGTAGTTGGTCGTTTCCATGACTATCAACTCGGACAATTGGTCAAGTGGACTTTGCATGCTTGAGCGCTGCATGCCTGCGTACTGCGCATGCTTAGATGATCTTCTTATATTTTTGTGACCAAGCGATTAATTACTCAGAAAGTGATGAAAATAGGTCCAGCTTGTTGTTGCCATCACTATGAATATGAAAAATTTGTTAAATGACTAAATTTCTCATTATGATTGAAATTAATGATTTCCCAATATGTGACCAAGTGAACCACAGAAGGATGCAAGCTTGTTCTGTTTGTCATTGCCATGATTGTAAACTCGAACAGTTTGTTGAGTTGTTTGTGCATGTTCAGATGAGTTCTCAAATAATTTAGGACTGAGGTTTAAAATATACCGTCTTAATACTTGCAACATAAATAAAATTTAACTTTGTATTACATCTACATTTAAGGCGTAAAGATTTTTCTTTGTTATCGTAGTCAGTAGTTATCAAGTAATGGACCACTCTCAAATAATCACGAATATTGGTTGACTTTTGGTTAGGTTTCTTTGGGAGGCCCTTCTCCTTTGAACTTGCAAGGAGCAGTCAAGCGTCTCACTGTGATAAACCTACGAAGTATTTCTCTCATTTTCTTGTTTAGAAAAGTTATCAACTAAGTGGTCGAACTCTTCGTAAACTACCATTCCTTGCACATGCGCTGTATTCGAAAGTAAGTAATACGAATTAAAGCCTTCACCCGTGTTCTTTGTTGTACATGCATGTACTTATATTGTCCCTCAAACCTACGTAATAGGCACAAACGATAACCTCAGAAGAGTTTTTGAATAATCTTTCAATGATTGTTGACAAGCAGTTCAAAGAAAAAGAGAATCTTTGTTCAGTTGGTGAAGAAAAAAGCGTGCAAGCGTGATCTTTTAACGATTGTATACTTTTATACATTCATAAAATCTTTGGATATGCTTTGTTGAAGATTAAGATTTTTTATTGCTCAATTTAATTTGGTAAGATAGATCACAAAGTTTGCTAATTTATATTGGTACTTTGAGACTCCTTACATGACGTTTCCCCAACACACCCGAGGTCAAAGGCAGCAATGTGTATAGTTCGTTATTGAGGATAATGTGTAGATTATTTTAAATAGGGAAGGATATTTATACGATATAGTTAATTGTAACTGTTTAATTTCAACGTATGTTTACATTAAATTACATCCTTAAGCCAACTTTACTAATATTGATCGCTATTTTCATGTTATACATCTATAATCATCTTGTTAAAGATTTGAAGCTCTGCTACGATAATACAGGTTTGTACTGCTATCTCATCTTTGTTTGTTGCCTATCTGATAGCATGTCAACTCCGGGGACCAGATTTTTTATCGAGATTTATATGACATTAGAGATTGTCGTACCTCAGTCTAATATCTTGAGCATGAACGATATGTTGTTGAAAGATAAGTTTACATATACTCTAGCGTAGTGTCTTCATCAGGAGTGATCGAATGTTGAAACTTGAGTCGCAATATGCTCCAGTCTTATGATTTGTCAGGAGTGATCTTTTATTGAAAGTTTCGCTAATGTTATTTAACCATGTTATCTAAAAACTTTATCCTCCATATGCATGTGAAACATGTTTTTACAAATGCATGTGAAACTCGTCAACACTTTGTTACGGCATTCGTAATATCCGTGACAACGTTAAAAATGTTTTTATTTTTCTACAACTTTATACCTGCATATTGCATGTCATATCCAAGCTTTCCTTTGATTTGACGGGAAATGGTTTTTATTCACTCTTACATCTTCTGCCTTTATAATTAGTCGATCTGTATTTCTAAACTAATATTTACAAATGCCCCAAGAGAATCTTTTTATTTTATTAGCTCTTCTACAAATACAATACCATGTCCGACTATTTGATTGCACGAATTTTTTAATTTGATCACGTTTTTTTGACACGTGTGTTTACCATGGGAAAGATGGATTGCTTAAACGTACCTAGTTGTTTAGACTACTTGGATCCATAGTTATCCTGTAATGTATACTCTTGTGAAGCACCAATGAGCATACGTAGTGTGTCTTCTATAACCTCTATTCTTGTTCTCCACTTCATCATCTATCCATATTTGTTCTGTTTAGTTCTCAGCTCAACACAACCCTTGTCTTAAGTTCCTAAACCTTCATCTACCCAAGAAAGATCTCTGATCTCTGGTGGTAACATGTTAGGTATGGCTAGTGGTTGGTCATCGTCATTGAGCCTTGTGACAACAGTTCAGTATACGTTAATTGTCCTGAAGACGTTGAGAATGTTGCTAGTAAAGCGTCGCCTTAACCAGAAGTTAGTTTTCATGGTATGCTAACGGATTACGCAAACGTTGTTAGGAATAAGTTCTCAGCTCAACACAACCCTTGTCTGAAGTTCCTAAACCTTCATCTACCAAGAAAGATCTCTGATCTCTGGTGGTAACATGTTAGGTATGGCTAGTGGTTGGTCATCGTCATTGAGCCTTGTGACAACAGTTCAGTATACGTTAATTGTCCTGAAGACGTTGAGGAGGTTGCTAATAAAGCGTCGCCTTAACCAGAAGTTAGTTTTCATGGTATGCTAACGGATTACGCAAACGTTGTTAGGAATAAGTTCACATAAAATGGTTATGGTCTCGTTCCATCATATTATGAGAAGGTTTCATGTTCATCCTGTATCTTTCACCAATGTTACAAATACTTAGTTTTTTTATGCTTTTTGAAATTGTCGTTTTTATGACTATTATTTTAGAGCATAGACATTGAAAAATCGTGTGGTAGTACAGGTATTTTCAACATTTTTTTGTTGAAAAATTCTCTAGTTTCAATTCTTCGAAATTTCTCATCTTAAATGTCACCTTTACTTTAGAATCCTTTCGATACGAGAAATCGTCGGGATTTGAGGTACTTTATACGATATATTGAATTTAAGTTTTATAGCGTTAATAACTCGTGTGTTTACCATGGGAAAGATGGATTGCTGAAACGTACCTAGTTGTTTAGACTACTTGGATCCATAGTTATCCTGTAATGTAAACTCTTGTGAAACACCAATGAGCATACGTAGTGTGTCTTCTATAACCTCTATTCTTGTTCTCCACTTCATCATCTATCCATATTTGTTCTTGTTTATTTCTCAGCTCAACACAACCCTTGTCTGAAGTTCCTAAAACCTTGATCTACCCAAGAAAGATCTCTGGTGGTAACATGTTAGGTATGGCTAGTGGTTGGTCATCGTCATTGAGCCTTGTGACACCAGTTCAGTATACGTTAATTGTCCTGAAGACGTTGAGGAGGTTGCTAGTAAAGCGTCGCCTTAACCAGAAGTTAGTTTTCATGGTATGCTAACGGATTACGCAAACGTTTTTAGGAATAAGTTCTCAGCTCAACACAACCCTTGTCTGAAGTTCCTAAAACCTTCATCTACCCAAGAAAGATCTATGATCTCTGGTGGTAACATGTTAGGTATGGCAAGTGGTTGGTCGTCGTCATTGAGCCTTGTGACACCAGTTCAGTATACGTTAATTGTCCTGAAGACGTTGAGGAGGTTGCTAGTAAAGCGTCGCCTAAACCAGAAGTTAGTTTTCATGGTATGCTAACGGATTACGGAAACGTTGTTAGGAATAAGTTCACATCAAATGGTTATGGTCTCGTTCCATCGTATTCTGAGAAGGTTTTATGTTCATCCTGTATCTTTCACTAAAGTTACAAATATTGAGTTTTTTATGCTTTTTGAAATTGTCGTTTTTATGACTATTATTTTAGAGCATAGATGTTGAAGAATCTTGTGGTAGTAGAGGTATTTTCAACATTTTTGTTGAAAAATTCTCTAGTTTCAATTTTCTCATCTTAATTTCCACCTTTACTTTAGAATCCTTTCGATACGAGATATCGTCGGATTTGAGGTACTTTATACGATATATTTAATTTAAGTTTTATAGCGTTAATAATCATCTGTTCATCGTAACTTTGCTATAATTCTATGGATAAATTATGTTTTATATATAACAGATTATTGATGATCCTACTTCACCTGAAGGTGTTCAGCAAGAACGACGTATGAAGTTACTGTCGTTAATTTATAATATAACCCTTCATAAAGGGTTTGATTGTCGAAATTATTAATGTCATGGTTGTTTCAGACCAATGGAATGAGTATGATCAATGAATTCTCGACTTGTTATTTGCTAATAACTCAAATATATTTATTTTCAAATTTCTTAGCTTAATAAATGTTATCTTTGTAGAAACTATTATAACAAAGTACATAATCCCTTTTCCGTGAAGCCCATGGATGCGTTCGTTCATGATGAAAGAGTCATATTGTATAAGGAGGCTCTCGTTCATCAGAGAGTTATGAGAAAATACGTTGTAAAGGTACTAAGTAAAAACATATAAACATGCTTAGTGTTTGTTTAACTTATAGTTCAAAAGGCAAAGTTGTTTGAACCTTTGAAGTATCCTTGGACGTTCTAGTTTTTATGAGAAAGTTCTTGTAAAAAAGACAAATTTTGAAAATCAAAGAATCCCGTTTTCGGTCCATGCCTCCCGATACCCATAGATAGTTGATCACTAGAGAGTCGCATGTTAACTAAGGGAACCACATAATCATTGTTTGTTTTCCATGAAACATATGGATGGTTTGCTCGTGATACATGAGAAACAGTAAATGAGAGAGTTAATCAGAAAGATATAAACCGATAAAATTGATATAAAACTTGTCTAAGGTTGTCTTTATGTAAGTGTCAGACAGGGTCATAAGAAAATTGAAACATTACTTGGTTTGCTTTATGAGAAAACAAAATAAAATTCGAAAGCAAAAACCCCGTTTTCTGTCCATGCCTCCCGATACCTTCTTGAGCGCAAGGCAGGAAACGCCGCATGTTAACGTTTCGGTAGGAGATTCGGCCCCTCCACCTACTGGGAGATGCAATAGCAAGCTTCCGCCCATCAGACCCTGAGATCACCTGCGATAGATTTTGCTCAGGGTACGCAGGAATCGGTCGCCACCGAAGTGAGGGCCCCTAAGCCACTGCATACTATATCGCACAGCTTCCTGCTAGTTGACATCTACTATATGAAGTTTTAGCTTTATGTATATATACCAAAATTTAAAGGCGTACGAAAGTTGTGGGATGATTGTTATCGTTACCGCGCATGCGCAGATGATTTGTCTTAAAACGTGTGACTGAGCGAGCTAATTACTCCAAAATCAATACTAGTACATCCAGTTGACCAAACTTTACCAGTAACCCAAGTTCATGGTCATGGCAACGACCAACTGCATCTACTAGCACCAATTTTAAAGTAAATAGCATGCTTAGTAACAATTTAATATAGAACTCGTCTGCGCATGCGACCGATCATGCGCACTCCACTCGAGTAATTGTTCATAGTCATGACAACGACAACTATATGTACTTGCACTACATTTGTGTCAATTAACTCACTTAGTCGCAAATTATCAAAGAAATCATCTAGTCATGCGCAGTAACGATAACAATCATCCCACAAGTTTCGTACGCCTTTAAATTTTGGTATATATATATAAAGCTAAAACTTCATATAGTAGATGTCAACTAGCAGTGGAACTAGGTGCGATATATTATACAGTATCTTAGGGGCCCTCACTTCGGTGGCGACCCTTCTCTCCCAGCGTACACTGAGCAAAGCCTATCGCAGGTGATCTCAGGCTCTGATGGACGGAAGCTTGCTATTGGCATCTCCCAAGTAGGATAGCGTGGAGGGGCCGAAATCTCCTACCGAAACGTTAACATGCGGCGTTCTAGTGCCTTGCGCTTATGAAAGTATGGGAAGCATGGACCGAAACGGGTTT